TAACAGAAATCCAGCGGTAGTAATGAGGCCTGCCTGATTTTGCCTCTCCTTGGGCTCTTGGTTGGGTCAAGTTTCTTATAATCCATTTTGGCAGCACTGGAGAGCTTAGTCTACTCCAGGTGGATATACAAATTTTCCACATTCCAAGCCAAGAAGAAACCTCCAGTACAGTCCCATTTCTCTCCACCCCTACCCTAAATATAGAAGGTGAGAAATAGAATCAAGTAATATAATCAAGCGTGTCATATAATCATCCATTCTTTAAGAGGTATGATTGTAGAAACTTGTGAAAAGAGCAAAGGGAAAATGGGCGGTTCTTGTTTTAGACTTCAACCTACATACAGCTCCTGTTTCTGAGAAAAAGTATCAAATCCATACAGCTCCTGTTTCTGAGAAAAAGTCAAAATGGCTTTGGCTGATCCTTGGCTGCTCTAATTTATTATGTCTCCAAGCAAAGCTAATTATACTGACAGCCAACCATTGAGTCCACCCATGGGGTTTTTGATAGTACCTCTTCTGTATTATTGTAAATAGTCATGTATTCCTGGTTATTTCCTAGCACATTTTCTACCATCCTTTTGCTCTAAAAATGAGTAATTTAAATACCAAGATTTGGTTGCTGGTTTAAACCAGGTTATCAGCTCAAGTAGGACAGAGTGCTGAACAGCTCATTAAAGCTTTCATTTGAAATGTCAGGAAACGGTCTAGACTGGCATTTGTATCACAGACTATTGAAAAAAGTCCCCTTTTCCTTGGAGGTTCTTGTGTCTTAATCTATCAGATAAGCCCTAGTGCTGAAGTGAGAGTTAACAATTAGTTGGCAACTGGTGTTACACTGATTACAACTGGCCTTGTAGCATGCATGAAAGTAGTTAAAGTCTCTCTCTGTCTACAGTGGGTGGAAGGCAGTAGCTTTTGGGGCTCCTCATTTACAGGGTAAGAATTACTGTTATTTTCTTGTCCCTCCTCGTCCCTCTGATCACCGCAATACTTTTTCAACCTTCCTTCACAGAATATGCAGCAGAAGAAAATCTGTCTAGTGTGTTTAATAGGCTGCCAATCACTGTAGGTGCAAGGACCCAGTAATACCACTTGGCATGTATGCGGCAGTTACTTTATGTTCAAAGCACTTTGGACTCATTCCCGAATACTCACAAGGAGACAAATGGGTATTATTATTTTTGTAAACTGAGACTGAGAGGTTAAATGACTTGTCCTAGGCCAGCCATGGCCATTAGACACTGCTGTCTCCTCACTGTGTTATTCTGTATTCTAATATTTGCCCTATTATTTTTATAGCGGTTGAACCTCTCTAGTCCTGTACTCTCTGGTCTGGCAACATCCATGGTCCAGCATGATTTTAATTAGCCAGATGTCCACTTATCATGGGTATGGCCAAGTTTCCTGTGATTCTGTAATGTTTCTTTACAGCCCCCAGTCCTGGCCCTCAGTGTTCTGTGCTGTTATTTAGCTCTAATTTACCCCAAAATGTCTTCTAAGAGCCCAGTAAGCAGTGGAAGTGTTGGTAATGCTGCTAGACAATATTGACCTCTCCAGGGTTCAGCAAATTCTCTAATTCAGCACTGGTCAGGTCCTGAGGGAGCCAGACTAGAGAGATTCAACCTGTATTTGTAATTTTTGTTTCCCCCAATAAATCTTTCTGGGGAACTGTAAGGATGGTATCATTGAATATAACACAAGTTCCCCTTAGTGGAAGGTTAAATTCAACTGGTGTTTCAGGGTACCAACACAAGTCAATGCATGGCTTATGTCCTCTACTTAGGGCCTCTGGTCAATGGATATTGTGACAAGGTGGGATAGAGGGCTAGACTGGGGGAGTGAGGGGGGTGTTACTTCAAGGCAGCTAGGAGCAGCTAACCTGAGGATATTATGGGCAGAATGGAAGTAGCTGGGACCAGGCTGCTATAAATCAATTAAGGGCCAGATTATTTGACTTCAGGAAGCCACAGGACCTTTTAAAAAGCCTTCCCTGCTGGCGGGTGGGGTAGGGGGAGAGAGTGGAAGAGGAATTTGGGGTGAGGTGGAGAGGAGCTATAACTGATAAGAAAAGAATCAGAAAAGCTGATACAGAGAACAGCAGCGTTGACAGAGACAACAGTGTAGCTGAGGAGCTTTGACCAGGAGTATTTGGACTCTCTTACCCACGGAGCCTGAGAGCCCAGCCAGTAGCTGGGGAGGACTGGTTACCCAGCCCTGGCTGACCAGGTGTGTTGGCCCCAACACACTTTTAGCCAATGGACAGAAACCCAAATGCTGACAAGGACCTGTGCTGCTGTACATAGTCTGTGAGTTTGTGGACTGAACAGGGGTCTGGGGCCCAGGAGTGGTACCGACCCTGCCACGGTATCTTCAGTGGGCTTTGGATTAGGCTCTTGTGTCTTATGTTGAAGGCTTCAGAGGGACTTAAAAGATGCATCGGGCCAATGCATGGGGTGGATTTCATCTGGAGAGATTCTTCCTAGAAAATGATTAGATACATTCACACCTCAATATTGCACAGCAAAAGAGACTCAAACTTCAGAACAAAATGCAGGTGGGTATGGCATGGCACAGGAAACCATCTTCGTGTTGTGGCTCTTTTTGTTCCGAGCAGTTAGCCAAATGCAGTGTGTGGCCGGTCGTTCAGTTAGGAGTAGAAAGTGGTGACAGGTATCTTGGGATGCAGTCCTGTTATTTTGCAAAGCTCTGTTTCTCTGAACACAGGGAGACTCAAAGAGAAGACAGTGTCCATTCTCACAGGGCCAGGCCTCTTTCAGTCACCACCCTGTCCCAAAATCTCTCTCATTGCTTCCCCTGGGGGGAGGAGCACACCCTGTACTTGCAGATAGTGTCTATTTGGCTTTCTTTCTGCTTATCCCTGGCTCTCTCTGGGCAGGTCTAGACTACTTTTAATTTTGAAAGAGGATATGCAAATTACATGGGAATTTGCATATCTTCTTCCGATTGCATTTTCGAAAGAGGATCTTTCGAAAGTGAAAGCAGTCTGGATGCATTTTTTGTGGGAAAAAAACCCTTTTTCGAAAAAACTGCTCTTCCTAAAAAAAGGAAGTTTACGCGGTTTTTCAAAAAAGGTTTATTTTTTTCCGAAAAAAACGCATCCAGACTACCTTCACTTTCGAAAGATCCTCTTTTGAAAATGCAATCGGAAGAAGATATGCAAACTCCTGTGAAATTTGCATATCCTCTTTCGAAATTAAAACGTATTCTAGACGTGCCTTCTGTGTCCTGTGTCTTCTGCTATGCAGCCCCCTCGCCCCTCCCCACACACACCCCTCTCAGGTGCAATCACACATTCCAGTGTGAGCAGTTAGGTTTTGCAGTACACTCAGCTGAGGGATGCAGTAATAGGTACAGTTGCCTGGGCTTATCCTGATACAGCCATGCAAATATTTTTTGCCAAATGATGTGGCTATTTGAACCATTCTCAGAACCACTCTGTGGTGTCTGCTCCAGTGTTACCAGAGGGAGGGAGGGAGGTATGACATCATCAGGCACGCATGTGTCCAGCATTACTGCTCCATGAGTAGAAATAGAAGTTCAGGGTCCTTGGTTAGATTTTTTTCCCCTGTGTCACTTCTGGTAAATCACTAATGGGACTCCTGCATGCACACTGGCCCCAGGGCTTTTCATGTTCTGGAAGCATGGACAGTGCTGGGAAGCCTGTGAGATAGGAGGGGTGTCGGTCCAGGATATGGTGCCATCCTCCCTTATCCTATTCGTAACAGTGATGTGGAGCCTTTCCTTGTGCATGGAGTGTGGGGGAGTCACCGGGCCCTGCACCCCCATCCGCAGTCAGACGTGACTCTCAGCCAGCAGGTAGAACAGAAGGTTGATTGGTTGACAGGAACACGGCACAGCACAGATTTGTTGCTACAGAACCAGGAGCTTTCCGTGCAATCCATCTTGGGGAAAGGGGGGCCCAGAGCCCCAGCTCTGGGCACCTGTCCTGGCCCCCAAAGCCAGCTAGGCTCCCTTCTCCCTCAGCCAGCTGGAAAACTAACTCACACTCCCAGCCTCCAGGCTGCCCTGCCTACTCCTTTGTTCAGATTTCCCGGCAAAGTGTCACCTGACTGAATCCTCCACCTAGCTCAGGTGACAGGCTGGCCTGGGACATTCCCTGTGTGCCTCCCCTCAGAAGTTCTCCCCCAGAGATCCCATCCCCCTCTGGGCACTGCATGTGCGTGTGCACACACACACGCACACGCACACATACACACACACGCACGCACACACACACATGCGCGGTCATTACAGAGAAGCACAGGGCAGTAGGATGCCTTGGTTAGGTTGATTTAGGTGTGATTGGCCCTGCCTTGGGCAGGGGGCTGGACTTGATGACCTCCTGATCCCATACAGCACAGCAAAGTAAACCAAAAAAGCAGCCATGTAGCACTTAAAAGACTAACAAGATAGTGTATTAGGTGATGGATGAGCTTTCGTGGGGCAGACCCACTTCTTCAGATCATATTCTGAAAGCAAATTGGCATGACCATTCACCAATTCGCTTTCAGAATATGATCTGAGGAAGTGGGTCTGCCCCACGAAAGCTCATCACCTAATAAACTATTTTGTTAGTTTTTAAAGTGCTACATGACTGCTTTTTTTGTTTTACCAAGAGAGGTAGACTAACATGGCTACCTCTCTGTTACTATTCAACAAAGTAAACAGTGAATGCAAAAACAGAGTGAACACCATGGCTACAAGAGTGAATGCAGCCCCCACTACATCACAGGTTGGCACTTGACTTCATCAGAGTACTTGACACGCTCTGTACCTCCCAGAATGTCTGTGTGGCAGGGCAGCATGATCTCTGCTTTCCCATGGGGAACAGGTGCGGGGAAGTTAGTGTACATGACTTGTTGATGACTACACAGAGAGTCATTCAGCAAGAGTTCAGGAGGAGGATGCGGTTTTTTGTCCTATGTCCCTATCCCACTGTTTCAGGCAAAGAGCAACTTCTCCCTCTACTTTCTCCCCAGAGGTACTTGCAGGGGCTGTGGCCGGCCCAACCACGCATTTAATCTGAGATCATCTGGAACAAACAGCATCATTCCCGTCCCCTCAGACCCTGAGGTAAATGTGAACAGCAATGGGAAAGATTGACACCACGTCTGTGGAGCTGAATTCGCCCTCTGAGGTGAAGCAAGCAGCCATTGAGGAATCTGAGCCAATTGCCCAAGGAGATGGGAGCACCACGAAGAAGAAGGAACTCCCAGATAGAGGTTCTTGGAAGGGAAAATTCGATTTCCTGCTGTCGTGCGTGGGCTACGCCATTGGACTGGGCAATGTCTGGCGGTTCCCATATCTCTGTGGCAAGAATGGAGGAGGTGAGAATAGAATGCTAAACACATGCGTTTCCTTTCTACCAGCCTCTACCCAAGGGTGCAGCTAGTGCTTTGAAATTTGGCTGGTGCATTCCCCTCCCATCCTGCTCTCAGTGTATCCACAGTCTGCCGCATCAGATATACTGAGGTAGCATAAGCCAATTGCGAGAGGGCAATACTAGTAATCCTAGTAATACTTTCCATTTCCATACAGCAGGGTCTTTCGCTCACAAGTGGATCATATGAGTGAGAATGAATTAAGCCTCACAACACAGCTGTGAGAGAAGTTAGTGTTACTATCCCCATTTTCACAGGCGAAGAAGCTGATTTGCAGAGCGGTTAAGTGACTTAACAGCAATCCCTCAGCAATTCTGTGGCATAGCTGGAAACAGAGCCCTTATCTGCATGTCCCCAGCATCCTGCTAAGTCCTATCACTTCTTATTCTTTAATTTCCCCAAAATACAGCTGTTCCTCAGTACCCTCTTGGCTACATCACTTGGCCTTGCCTTGGGCATCCCTTAGAGTGGAAGGGTGCGTCTACACTGCACCCACAGTTCAAAATAAGCTACACAATTTGAGCTATGAAAATTGCATAGCTTATTTCAAGTCCATTTTGATATAGCTTGTTTTGAAATGTGGCGCTGTCTACACAGCACTTATTTCAAAATAAATCGCTATTCTGAAACGTCCCTTACTCCTCTTGGAACGAGGTTTACAGGGATGTCAGAATAGTGAGCCTATTATATTTTGAAATAACAGGCATTCTCAAAAGACGTGGAATTAGTGTTGCAAGGTGACTGGTTTTGAACCAGACAGTCCAGTATTTGAGCTTTCTGTCCGGGAAACAAATTGAGAAAATACTGGACATATAAATGTCCGGTATTTTCTAATTAAATAAGTTTTATTATTATCATTAGTGTCAGTTCATAGTTGCATACTGCCTGACTGGTAGACATGCTCATGCACCAGCCAGGCAGTACGCAACAATGCAGTAGAGCGGGGGTGGGGCCGAGGTGGGATAGAATCCCCAAGGCCGGACTTGCCCATGTGCTCTGCCGGGACCGTGCGCAGGATGGGCAGCGCCCCTGGATCCGTGTGTGCCTGGGCCAGCCCCGCTTCCCGCTGGCCAGTTCCTCCCCACTCTTCCCACCCCCGGCCAGCCCTGCTCCCCCTGACCCTCTCCTGACCAGCCCTGCTCCTGTTGGACGGTTTCCCCCAATTTCCCCC